ATAGGGTCCCACCGTAATGTGTGCAATCTATATGTTTTACAGAAATTTTTTTCCTGTACATGTAGAGTGCTCTATTTTTAATCATATATTCTATCAGTTGACTAATTCTACATGTGAACTTTTTAATTACATATTTTTTGTGAAAAATATTTTTTACAAAATTTATTCTAAAAAAATCTCTACCAAACATAAACTTATTATTAAAAAAAGACTATGCAGCTAATTAAGAAACTTGTTCGAAGTGACAACAAAATGGAATTCAAATTTGTGTAGAATACAAGTGCTTCTGGGGTCAGATTACATAAGATTTAAAAACAACGGTGGGGTGTGAGTGTGACAGGGTTAGTTTTCCTAAAGTGGTTATGGCGTCAGAAGGCATCATCAATTTACATAAGTGGAATGACGTAATATTTCAATCTAGCCCCTATTCGACAGGAATTAAAATTAAATTTTTAATAAATTTTCATAAAAATTAATAAAATGTATGATTAAAAAATTCTACAATTCAAAAAGTATATAATTAAAATTAATTATTAATTTTAACTTAAATTAAAATTTGAATTTTACTCCGTTGGACTAATGTGCTCTCAAAAGGTCAACATTTGTTTTGCACACCTACTTGTAAAGGATTTGGAAGAAATAAAGTTAGGACAAATGTCAATATCAAATTTTGTAAGCTTGTGCCACGGGTGTACGTGTTCAATAATTGATGAGTCGAAATGGTGAGTGACAGCAAATATTAATAAATAAGAGAATTAATTACCAATCAAAGATTTGTATTGAGCTTGATAATTCCACAACATCCCTAATCAATGAGTGTGTATGACTTTCTGTTACTCATTTCAGGTGACTTTTTTTTTTCCTTAGGATATTATATCGACGTTGAAAAATAATTTATTAATGTTTTTCATTAATATTTTCTAACACGTACACGTTCAAATACAACAGTTCAAGGACTTCAATCATCGACGGAGTCGCCTCCTAACGAGGCGTGACGATCGTCCGTGCTGGCTTCACCAACAGTAGGTTGGGTGGAACTAGAGGGCAAATCTTGAAAGGAATTGTGATGATTTGGAGGAGGAGGATGAGGAAGCGAAAGGGTGTTTGGAAATGGGGGAGGAAGCGAAGGATGGGGCGGTGGCCGCCATTTTTTACTGTGGAGAGAGAAAACAAGGGTGGTGGGCCTGGTGGCGCTGGATTTTTGCTTGGGGCTGTAGAGTAAGAGGGAAATATTTGAGGATTACAAATCTTTTAAGCATATCTGGCGCAAACTTTCATTGGAGGTTATCCAATTCCAATGTATGGATTTGTTTCATATTGGTCATTGAACTTCAATTTGATGACCTAACTTATCTTTATATTTCAATTTTTCGCCCAGCTCATAATTTTTATTTCAATTTTATTATTGAACTTAAGTTTTTATTTTTATTTTTTTGACTTTTATCACCAAGTTCATAAACGGGTCGACAAAATTCATGATGTTGCCAAGAAACTTTCGACCTAGTTATGAAATAGGTTTATTGAAAGTTAGATGTTAAAAGTATACAGTGTATTGGTTGAATGACAATCTGGTGGTATACATGGATCAAGATGCTTTTGAAAACATTGAGAATATGGCAATCTTGCAACACTTTTAAATATGAGATTCGGAGAATGCAATTGTTTGAACTTACGGTTATGGAGTGTGGTTGTAGTATGTATTTTTTTTTCTGATTATTTTGGATTATATTGAATTATATTTTCATATGTATATGACTTTTACGTTTTAATGTATTTATATATTGATTGAACAATTTTTAATATTACTTAATTAAATATTAATAAACGATCTCACTATACACGGTCGTTGATGGTCGACAGTCAGCGACCTTCCTAACTCACTAACAGTTGGTGACCTTCCTAACTCAAATACTAGGCATATCATAATGTTAAAAGAGGCATGCTATACCCTAAAATCAATGTCAACCATATGACTTCATCACGCATCATCGCAGAAATTTAGCATATTAAAGATATATTTAAGTTTAAAAATTGAGCACCACAGGCAATCTGGCAGTCCAACCAATCGGGCGAGGAATTTTGGGCTTCCCATTAACACCACTAAAAGTGTTTTTTTTTTTTTNTTCAATTATATTTTTATGTTATGTTTTTGATTTTATTTTTGGGTTTGTTTTTTTTTTTTTTTTTTCCGTTTTGGTGGGTGGTGAGAATGAATGGTCGTGATAGCCTCAAAGACAAGTTAAGCCCTTAAAAGGTGGTTGGAGTCAAAGATTGAAATAATATAAATACATAATGGTATTCAGCACCGATCTATATGGCATTATATGATAAGTTCAATTAAAAATGAAATTATGTAAGTCATTTAATTGAATTTGTTATTTAATGTCATTAGTGCTGTCACCTAGATTGATATTAAATACCAATTGTACTAGATAACACTACTCTATAATTCTTGTTTAACAATTTAAGTTTTTAAAATGAAATGGTCAATAAGATACTAAAGTCAAGCAAAATATTTGTGTTCAAGCCTCATTTTTAGGGCTCGTTTGGTAGGCTTCCAGAAAATTAAAAGCCGTTTTCGAGATTAAAAAGTTATTTTTGAACATATTTAAATAATTTTGAAGCGTTTTGTTTGGTTAAAAGAACTTTTGTAGAGAATTGACATAAGATTGTTTATTCGGGAAGCTTTTCTACGAGAAATAGAAGGTGAAGTCCTGTCAAATGGGGTCCTATATATTTATGCACAAATGATACCCATATTATTTGATAAAAAAAATTAATTCAACCAGATTTTAATTTAAATAATCATCCTCATAACCACCAAAGAAAGAACATATCCTTTCTGACAAGTCCATGAATTGGCGACTGCGGATATAATGATTAACTTTGTCTAATCTTGGTCCAATGGATTAATCTTTTTTAAAAATTAAATAAAATAAAATGGCGTTTTAATAAGAATTATAAATTTGAGAAAGTGGAGAACGATGTCCAGTTTCACTAAGGGCTTGTTTAATATGCCTTGTTTTTTAGGGAAGATGGAAGATGAAGACCGTCACAAATGAGGATAAACTACAATTGTTATCTTGTTGTAACGATAGAAAATTCTTAGGACTAGATTACTCAATTTTCTCTAGAAAATGAAGACACGTATCTAGTGTTGATGAGATAGAAAAAGTGTAAGAAAATCTTTGAGAGAGAGAGAGAGGGAGAGAGAGAGAGAGATGAGTGTACTATAACAACTCATTTGTAAAACTCCCAAATTTTTCAAGAAAACTTCGTATGTTTCATAACCTCTTTCCTTCAACACCCAAAACTTTTCATATGATTTGATACAACACGACATCCTTTCACCACATGGTAGTTTAATTAGGACGTAAAAATGCATACAACTTTCAAATTAAAGCTAAAATACATCATGTTCGCGCTTTTATCCAAATAACTTTGAATACATTTAAAAAATTAGACTAGGAAACGATTCAGCTCCAGAGATGAATTCCATTACACACTGAAAGCATGTGTATACGAATCTAATTCATCATGCACCCACAAATGTTTCAAAAATACAAAAGTATCGTGAATCAAATTTAATTTCAAGTATACTGTTTATGCCTCAGCGCAAACAAGACGCTCTAACCTCACACCACCACAACGAGCCAAATCCCACCACTGCTCCCAGCCAGCCGCGGATTCAGCTGGCGGTTGCACGTACTTGATTTGCTGGGAAGAATTTTTTTTGTTGACAATGAATAAACTTTTTAAGTTATATAACCGGTAATTCATTTTATTTTCAAACATTTCTTCTAACTGAGTTGGTTAGAACTCCCCTATTCATATCCCAAACCAATTATTGTGAAATCTTTTTAGTTTTACAATTTTTACTAAAATCAATGGAATAGAGAAGTGAATCAAACCTGTGAGCTCCTTTGGATTATTGAAGCTTGACCATTGTAGCACTTGTTGAATTTTGCATTAAATTTACCATAATAATATATGTTACATTTTTTGAGGTTTTAATGCAATTGTAAAAATTCGAATTCATGTCTTCCTTTGAATTATACAAAACTTGACCACAATATCATTTGATGAATATTGCTAATTTGTACAACAGAATTATATATGCTTAGTTCGAACAAAATAATTGTTATATTTAAATTTTAGACATTGCTTGATTCCTCTTTTTTTTTAAATGCATTTTCCTCTCTTCTTTTCAATCATACATTTTTCAATGAAATAATAATACATGCAAATTTAAAAATTTCCCTTATTTTTAACCACCAATTCTCCATCAAATCATCATTTCAAAACACATTTTTTTTTTGCAAAAAATGGCATCAAACGGGGTTCTTAATATTTTGTTGATGCCAATGGTCTACGGTCAACGATCGCCTGTGTTGAATCAAATTTCTGGATCCGCCACTACTGCTCCACTTTAATGCTGACGCTACTACATACAACTGAACATCACCAAGAAATTAGTGTGAAATCTTATTAGAATTTAGCCCATAAATAGATGAAAATTTGCCCATAAATTCGTGTTGGTGTTCTTGGTGGTGTTGACGGTGATGGTATGGAGATAGGGTGCAGATCTAGTGGCCGCCAGTGTAGATCTGGTCATGATGACTTTTGTTCAGGTGATGGTGTTAACTCGTGAGCTCCTTCGGCACTTGTTGAATTTGGCATTAAATTTACCATAATAATATATGTTACATTTTTGGAGGTTTTAATAATAATGAAACTTGATCCCTGCTTTTTGAATTCCATTCTTCAAACCTCTAGAATTATGTAATTTCCTCGATTCCCTTTATTTACATTTGGGGCTCATATCTTATATCAAAGCCCAATGGGTCTGTATTCGGACCCAACTAATCATTTCTCCGTCAAATAACCGCCGATTAACCAGAGCCCAGTACGGTTTCCTCTTCAACAAGTTAAAGGAGGACATACAGGCAGCAAAGAGAAAACCAAAATCTAAAGCAAAAGGCAAAAAGCAAAATCCGACCATGGCAGCTTCCGCAATGGTACTGGATCCGAAACCCGTATCATCTTCCGACCCGCCGCCGGCACTTCCAGCTGTCGCCGCCTCTAAATACAGCGAATCATCCGATGAAGACGATTTATACGTCCGACTCAAATCCCTCCAGCGGCAACAGGAGTTCATCGACATTCAAGAGGAGTACGTGAAGGATGAATTGAAAAACCTGAAGCGAGAGTTTCTACGGGCTCAGGAGGAGGTCAAAAGGATCCAGTCGGTGCCGCTGGTCATTGGCCAGTTCATGGAAATGGTTGACCAGAACAACGGCATCGTCGGGTCCACTACCGGATCGAATTATTATGTCCGCATTCTAAGTACTATTAATCGCGAGCTCCTCAAGCCCGCCGCCTCCGTGGCTCTCCACCGCCACTCTAATGCCCTCGTCGATGTCTTGCCCCCTGAAGCTGACTCCAGTATTTCGCTCCTCAGCCAATCGGAGAAACCTGTACAATGGATGTTACACTCAATCAATATTTTTATGTATATGATTTTTGCTTTAGATTTTTAGTGGATGTATGTTATTATTAGTTTGTTGGATGGTTTATTTTTATCTTATAATTGAATTGGAATTAAGACTTTATAGGAAATATAACCTAGAAAGAGCTGACTAGTTTCTTGATGGCTTATTCTTACCAGATTGAATAGGGCGCTTTTGGATTTGAGTATAAAGAAGTGAAATTTTACTATATCGTGCTTAAAGATAGGTTTTGAAGAGTTGTGTTATTAATTTTGGTATATTGAGCTTCGGGTAATTGGCGCACAACGTCTCTACCTTTGACGGTTTTTGTGCAAAACAACTATACGTTTCTTTTTTGGCGCAGAACGTCCCTACCCTTGCATTTTCTTGCGCAAAACGTCATTTTCGTCTCTTTTTGACCCTTTTACCCTTCTATGAAAAATAAAACAAAAGAAAAGAAAAATACAGAATAAAATGTAATTATGGGTCCAAAATTTTAAAAATATGCAAATCAGTCACAAACATGAAAAAATCATACCCCCTAAGCCACCATCTTTGAAGGCAAATTCTCCAACCTCCGATCACCTTGGCTGCCGGACCAACATACCATCTTAAAGCCTTCATTGCCCTCTTCACAACTCACCCAACCACCAGCCCCAACTCCGACAAATTTGGTTGGAAATCAAATTCAAAAATTACAATGCATGTTCAGTCGGCGCGCTTGTGAGTTCGCTGGTTCGACATCGCACCAACGGGGTGCATTTTTTGATTCAGGTGAGGCGACCCTCGGTGGCGGACCACCTGGGCTGGGTGCGCTATCACTTGATGGCGGTGTGATGGCGCACCCAGCCCAGCCATGGGTCCCCTTCAATTTGGCCGGAATCATGCGCACCGACTAGACTGTCTTGCTTCGAAATTGGTGGTTGTTGGTTGCTTGTTGGAGGACATTGTTAACATAGGTAGCTTCGACTTGATGAAGGAAGTCGGCCAGAGTTGGATTCCGGGGGGTTGGGTGGCCAGACAAGTCCCCTTCATTTTGGCCGGAATCATGCGCACCGACTAGACTGTCTTGCTTCGAAATTGGTGGTTGTTGGTTGCTTGTTGGATGAAATTGTTTACATAGGTAGCTTCGACTTGATGAGGGGAGTCAACCGGTGGTGGATTCCGGCCGGTTGGGTGGTCGGACGGCGAGTTGTGGGTGGATTCCAGCCATGGGTTTTGTTCTTTTTGATATTTTTATATATTTTGGACTGATTTGCATTTTTTAGTAAGTTTAGGAGTAAGATTGTAATTTATTCTTGATTTTTCTTTTCTTTAAGAGGGTATATTGGTCATTTTATGTTAAAAATTGGTCAGAAGGATGTTTTGCGCCAAAAATGTGAAAGGTAGAGACGTTATGCGCCAAAAAACAAAAGGTATGGACGTTTTGCACAAAAATCGGCAAAGGTAGGGATGTTTTGCGTCAATTATTCTTGAGCTTCAGTACAACTTATAGGACAAATTTTGTAGTAGACTTTTTATTTTATTTGCATTTAATAATAACGTGTCGAGAGCTCTTTAGGTGATTTGGAAATGTGGACTTGATTATCACTATACAATTGTAGTTTTTGATATGGGAGGTTAACTTTACTCTTTACACTTGCATGGCATTCTCTTTTTGAAGGTGGTCCTTTTCATTTAAGATCCTGTGTTCACTGATCGAGTTAGAATTTTGTTGAGCAGAAAAGCTGTTATAGTGATATGCAAGAATAAATTGCTCAGTGACTTTCTTCCATCCAAGACTGTTAGAAGTTGGAAGTGGATTTGAGTTCAAAACATTAACACGAATAAAGAATATTCTTCATCCTCCAAATCTGGGTTTGCCGACCTTTAATAGATTTTTTATTTTTTTTCCTCTTCGAAATTACCATAATTCATAAGTCAAGTTTTTTATTACTATAGGTGGGCCCTCAACTTCTTGCGCAACTTTATCAACAGTTAAAGTGACCTTTCTTGCTGCTGCAAGAACTGGAAAAGCCATCTTTTAGGGTTTTACTTAACCAAACTAACATTAAAAGGAAGAAAACAAAAGTGTTATCAACAGATTATAGTATTTTCTTTTACAGGACCTTTTCATACCCTCTTTCCACCCATCATTTTAAACTGCAACTTTGGAATGCTTAAAAGCAAATCTTGAACAATTATACAGTTTTGGATAGCCCTCCAATCATGGATATTCCTCACCATATTCATATTTTGCCAATCTTTCTCCAAAACTGAGGCACACTTGTAGAGGATTCTATGTAACTGCAAAAAAATAACTTCTTGTAAAGCATAATAACCACACACATCAAAATATTAAATAAGCTAAGAATAAACAATTTTGGGAATGCTATTGGTTTCTGTGAACTGGACTCCACATTATCATTAGAAAAACTAAAGACAAAAATATTAAAATAATTCAGATTTATATATAAATAATAAATACTCTGATGTGGATGCAGTTAAAGGCTGCTTCGGGCTATGACTTATGTACAAAGAAGTTTTTATAGTCCTGATAATGCTACTTTGTATTTGCCTGTTCTAGTACATTCGTACCTTTCATTGCTTGCACCATTCTCTCTTGACTGGAGAAAACTTGCCTTCGATTTTTGAGGGCATTGAAAATGCAGCCAATGCTTGGAACCTTCTTCTTCATTACATCAATGATATTCTTCTCCTTGATAATTTTCTGAAATTACGAATCATCAATTCACGTAGGTCGAATTATTAATTGCTTCGTCCCGTGTTCATGCACTTGAACAAATTCTTCATTCTGAATACTGTAGATAGTTGTTTCATAATTCTATTTCACTTTCAAATACCGGACACCATTAGTTATTATTCCATCCCATTCATTATGGTTAAACAAGCTGCTGTGTCAACCTTCTGGTATCACCCTACCTCTTCATTGTCTCAGGATATTGGCGGATGTGATAAATGTTACCTACAATGTGAGTTAGTTCACTTTTATGTATATGATTTTTGCTTTAGATTTTTAGTGGATGTATTTTATTATTAGTTTGTTGGATGGTTTATTTTTATCTTATAATTGAACTGGAATTAAGACTTTATAGGAAATATACCCTAGAAAGAGCTGACTAGTTTCTTGATGGCTTATTCTTACCAGATTGAATAGGGCGTTTTTGGATTTGAGTATAAAGAAGTGAAATTTTACTATATCTTGCTTAAAGATAGGGTTTGAAGAGTTGTGTTATTAATTTTGGTATATTGAGCTTCGGGTAATTGGCGCAAAACGTCTCTACCTTTGACCTACCTTTGACGGTTTTTGTGCAAAACGTCTATACCTTTCTTTTTTGGCCTTGACCGTCCCTACCTTTGCATTTTCTTGCGCAAAACGTCATTTTTTTCTCTTTTTGACCCTTTTACCCTCTATGAAAATAAAACAAAAGAAAAGAAAAATACAGAATAAATTGTAATTATGGGTCCNTTCAAAGAAAATAAAACAAAAAGAAAAGAAAAATACAAAATAAATGGTAATTATGGGTCCAAACTTTTAAAAATATGCAAATCAGTCACAAACATGAAAAAATCATAGCCCCTAAGCCACCATCTTTGAAGGCAAATTCCCCAACCTCCGATCACCTTGGTGCCGGACCGACATACCACCTTGAAGCTTTCATTGCCCTCTTCACAACTCACCCAACTACCAGCCCCAACTCCGACAAATTCGGTCGGAAATCAAATTCAAAAATTACAACGCAGGTCCAGTCATCACGCTTGTGAGTTCGCTGGTTCGATAGCGCACCAACAAGGTGCATTTTCTGATTCAGGTGAGGCGACCCTCGGTGGCGGACCACTTGGGCTGGGTGCGCTATCACGTGATGGCGTTGTGATGGCGCACCCAGCCCAGCCATGGGTCCCCTTCAATTTGGCCGGAATCATCCACGAGCGCACCGACTAAACTGTCTTTGCTTCGAAATTGGTGGTTGTTTGTTGCTTGTTGGATGAAATTGTTTACATAGGTAGATTCGACTTGATGAGGGGAGTCGACCAGTGGTGGATTCCGGCTGGTTGGGTGGTCGGACGGCGAGTTGTGTGTGGATTCCAGCCATGGGTTTTGTTCTTTTTGATATTTTCATATGTTTTGGACTGATTTGCATTTTTTAAAAAGTTTAGGAGTAAGATTGTAATTTATTCTTGATTTTTCTTTTCTTTAAGATGGTATATTGATCATTTTATGTTAAAAATTGGTCAAAAGGATGTTTTGCGCCAAAAATGTGAAAGGTAGAGACGTTATGCGCCAAAAAAGAAAGGTATGGACATTTTGCACAAAAATCGGCAAAGGTAGGGATGTTTTGCGTCAATTACCCTTGAGCTTCAGTACAACTTATAGGACAAATTTTGTAGTAGACTTTTTATTTTATTTGCATTTAATAATCACGTGTTGAGAGCTCTTTAGGTGATTTGGAAATGTGGACTTGATTATCACTATATAATTGTAGTTTTTGATATGGGAGGTTAACTTTACTCTTTACACTTGCATGGCATTCTCTTTTTGAAGGTGGTCCTTTTCATTTAAGATCCTGTGTTCACTGATCGAGTTAGAATTTTGTTGAGCAGAAAAACTGTCATAGTGATATGCAAGAATAAATTGCTCAGTGACTTTCTTCCATCCAAGACTGTTAGAAGTTGGAAGTGGATTTGAGTTCAAAACATTAACACGAATAAAGAATATTCTTCATCCTCCAAATCTGGTTTTGCCGACCTTTAATAGATTTTTTATTTTTTTTCCTCTTCGAAATTACCATAATTCATAAGTTAAGTTTTTTATTACTATAGGTGGGCCCTCAACTTCTTGCACAACTTTATCAACAGTTAAAGTGACCTTTCTTGCTGCTGCAAGAACTGGAAAAGCCATCTTTTAGGGTTTTACTTAACCAAACTAACATTAAAAGGAAGAAAACAAAGGTGTTATCAACAGATTATAGTATTTTCTTTGACAGGACCTTTTCATACCCTCTTTCCACCCATCCTTTTAAACTGCAACTTTGGAATGCTTAAAAGCAAATCTTGAACAATTATACAGTTTTGGATAGCCCTCCAATCATGGATATTCCTCACCACATTCATATTTTGCCAATCTTTCTCCAAAACTGAGGCACACTTGTAGAGGATTCTATGTAACTGCAAAAAAATAACTTCTTGTAAAGCATAATAACCACACACATCAAGTACAAAAGCTCAAAATATTGTAATATTTCCTATTTCTATATTAAAACTGAAATTTTGATAATTTTTTTTCCAAATATTCAAGATAACGATCTCTTAAGATCCATTGCAAAAGAACATTGAAGGGAATATGCCGATTCTCGGATGCATACAGAATCTAAATATTAAATAATCTAAGAATAAACAATTTTGGGAATGCTATTGGTTTCTGTGAACTGGACTCCACATTATCATTAGAAAAACTAAAGACAAAAATATTAAAATAATTCAGATTTATATATAAATAATAAATACTCTGATGTGGATGCAGTTAAAGGCTGCTTCGGGCTATGACTTATGTACAAAGGAGTTTTTATAGTCATGATATTGCTACTTTGTATTTGCCTGTTCTAGTACATTCGTACCTTTCATTGCTTGCACCATTCTCTCTTGACTGGAGAAAACTTGCCTTCGATTTTTTAGGGCATTGAAAATGCAGCCAATGCTTGGAACCTTCTTCTTCATTACATCAATGATATTCTTCTCCTTGATAATTCAGATAATGCTACTTTGTATTTGCCTGTTCTAGTACATTCGTACCTTTCATTGCTTGCACCATTCTCTCTTGACTGGAGAAAACTTGCCTTCGATTTTTTAGGGCATTGAAAATGCAGCCAATGCTTGGAACCTTCTTCTTCATTACATCAATGATATTCTTCTCCTTGATAATTTTCTGAAATTACAAATCATCAATTCACGTAGGTCGAATTATTGATTGCTTCGTCCCGTGTTCATGCACTTGAACAAATTCTTCATTCTGAATACTGTAGATAGTTGTTTCATAATTCTATTTCACTTTCAAATACCAGACACCATTAGTTATTATTCCATCCCATTCATTATGGTTAACCAAGCTGCTATGTCGACCTTCTGGTATCACCCTACCTCTTCATTATCTCAGGATATTGGCGGATGTGATATTCAGAAGCAGGAAATTCGTGAAGCTGTTGAATTACCACTTACACACCATGAACTGTACAAGCAGATTGGTATTGACCCTCCCCGTGGAGTGTTGCTTTATGGTCCACCTGGTACAGGTAAAACCATGCTTGCCAAGGCTGTGGCAAACCACACAACTGCAGCTTTCATTAGGGTAGTGGGTTCAGAATTTGTGCAGAAATATCTGGGTGAGGTATGCTTCAGAAACTCTCCTCTTTGCTTGTGATGGATGCTGATTCATTGTTAGATAGCATTTGGAATCACTTTGGTGTACTATGTCAAGTAAGTTGTGAATATCCAATTGACTAAATATTGTTGCTGGTGTGGTATCCAAAGGGTCCTAGAATGGTCCGTGATGTCTTTCGTCTGGCCAAAGAGAACGCTCCTGCAATTATCTTTATTGATGAAGTAGATGCCATTGCGACTGCTCGATTTGATGCCCAAACTGGAGCTGATAGAGAGGTTCAAAGAATACTCATGGAACTTTTGAATCAGGTATATGGGTGCAATCAGACTGCAGATGCATACTTATGACAAATAATCTGCAAGGATAGTTAGACGCTGTAGAGATAGGAAAATTGAAACCATTTTATGAGCTTTCTCTATGCACGTGTTGTTGCCATAATGCTACTAATTATTTGAATGATATGACAGATGGATGGATTTGATCAGACTGTGAATGTGAAGGTCATCATGGCCACTAACCGTGCCGACACGTTGGACCCTGCACTTATACGTCCTGGTAGACTTGATCGTAAAATTGAATTCCCTTTGCCTGATAGACGGCAGAAGAGGCTGGTTTTTCAGGTAATTGTCTAGTGAATATACCTGGTGTCTTATTTCTTAGCTTTCCATTTGCTTTAAATGATAGGAATTTGTTCGTCCCATATGAATTGAATGGTAACCGTTCTCATCAAATGCATAGTTACTTTTTGGCAAAGAGTGTTCTATCTCTTTGGATACACATAAATCTGTGAAGTGATTCTGCATGATTTGTGTGGATTCATGATTGTTGCTTGTCCTTGAGCAGGTTTGCACATCTAAGATGAACTTGGGTGATGAAGTTGATTTAGAGGACTATGTTTCTCGACCTGATAAAATAAGTGCTGCTGAGGTTTGTTTTCGTAACTACATTTTTTTATACAAGATGGTAATTTTTTCTAAGTTCAGTATTTGAGTATGTTCCCTTTCTGTCTTCAGCTTCTTTAGTCTTGTATTTTCAGTATATCTTGCATTTATGCGTTTATATTGTAGATTAGTCTGTGCATTCATTATGTACCTTTTCATAAGTTATCCAGTAA